GTGATATCTAAAACAATAGGACACTTAGGAATAAAATAATTTTTAAAATATCAAGTGATTATTTCTGAAGATGCTGTTCAGAATTCTTCATCAGTTTACAAATTCTTATAAGAAACTTGGAGAAGAAAATTTATCTCCATTGGTTTCATACTAACAAATACAAAATTCTCTGTTGAAATAGATACAGTTATTTCTCCTGTATCTGCAGCATGGTACAAAGAAGCAGCAACTCTCCAGACTGTAATAATGTAAAATAATTGATTAATATTGAGCAATTTGAATGCTTCTATTTTCACATATACTTTTAAGAGGTTCAACCTTTCTCTGAGTAGGACTGTTTACAAAATGTCACCCAGTGAGTCATAGCACACTTCTGCTTGCTCCTAAAGTTTCAACAGATAAGCACTGAAATTATGTGCAAATAGAAGCACAAACATAGCAAGTTACATTAACTCAGACCACACAAGCTCCTCTGGGCTGTATATTTCCATACTTTGTGACATAATACAGTTGTACATGTTGGCTATACACAAATACACCCACATGCACAGTATTTGTTCTTTACTACCTCTTCAGAAGTGATGATTTCCTGATCTTACCTCATTCTCCTTCACATACATAAACCCAGATGCAGAGGGAGAGTTGCACCTTTCTATGTGTATTTGTTTTTTGAGAGTTTCTTTGGCAGCTTTAAACACTGCTGGCAGGACTAATTTACAGTCTGAGAGCATCCTTTGAGGACAGAGCTTGACATACAATCTATAAGCTGCATGTACAAAAGTATTTTAACTCCTCTACAAACTCCTGTAGAGCTTGCAGATATAAAACAATTCTAAAAATGTAAATACTATCCTGCATAGTATACTGAAAGTTAATTTTCTGTGTGAAAGAAATTGTGAACTTTGCAAATACTGTGATATAAAGCACTAAAAGGACTGACTAAAACGTATTTAAAATATTTATTTAAAAGTATTTAGCATTAGCTAGAACAGTTTCAAGGTTTTAAACTGAGATCTGAGTCAGAAAATAAATATTTTTAAACATACAGCTGAAGCCTTTATTTCTAATTTTAACTCATGGCATCTTCATTTTGGGAACTCACCTGATGCAGAATTTTACACCACCTCACATGCTGATTTGTCCTCTAGTTTTAGGTATGTATTTTAACAAAACCCACTATCTCCATGACTCAGTTGTGATGCCAAATACACCCCTTCATTCGAATTGATTGCAAAGTTGAACATCACAGAAAACATCAGCTAAATTTTGCAGATAAGAGATCCATAAAGGGATACAGCTTGAAAAGATGGCTACACGCCTTAATGATCTCTATGATCAACTGAAATTTTTCCCATTTTATTTAGAGCAACCCGGTCACCAAATTTCTGATAGTGCTTCCCACATACAAAACCAAGGAGAAGGCAGAAAACTAAGTGCAGAATTGCCAAATAAGTCACAGATACTTTTCTGATTTTTTTATGCTTGAAATGAAACTAAACAAGATTCTAAATTAAAAAGAAAACGCAAGACGTGTTTTGACTTTTAAAATTTTAAAAAAGCAGCTAGAAGATGAATTATTTTTAGTTCTTCTGATTAGACTTTGAGTATTATTCTTGATCATAAAAAGGTATTTCCCCTAATCTTTGTTAGCTATCATACTTTCTGTTTGAGAGATTTATCTGCCCATATATAATGCATCATATTCTAACAGGCTGAGCAATTATTTTTAAGTTAAAAGATAACAGATGCAAAAGTTGTATTGGCCACACCTACACCCCTACACCTGTTCTGGTGTTTGACAGTACTCTTTGATGCCTGCATTTAAAACTTGCAATATCTTCATATCTACCCCAGCTACCAGAAAAAGCTGTTGCTCAGCTTTCCTTGCTGTTTCTGACATGGATTCTTTACTGTGGCTCTTGCTTGAACTGACTTATCTGACAAAAATCACTGAGTAGCAGACTGGTTCTTCTAAGGGGTAAAGCAACTTGTTTTTCTCAAAATGTTCTAAATTTTATGCAGCCTAAAAGAAGAATTTAAGATGACAGTTTTATGTCTGGTCTTGAGGAGGACAAATCTGATTAATTATTCTGTGCTCCTATTTTTTAATGGAGAGAATTCAAAAGGAGCATTGCAGATTGTTGCCATATAATTTTACAGAGCTTTGTTCTGATCAAAAATTTTACTTGGGATTTGAAGGGGGAGACAGATATATTACAACTTTAAAACGATCCTGTTTTTAATGCAGATACTTATGTCTACCAGAGTAAAGACCTGGTTGAATGTGATGCTCTGAAATAACCTCAGTCTGAAAAAGCAGATGTGTTACTAACTGTTGACAACAGGTCTGTCAATGGACTTTTTATGTTACAAGATAGTGCTGCATTTATTTCAGAGTAGCCTCAATGATTCCAGCAGAACTAGATGAACACAAATATGCCATGATGAGATTTTCACTCAGACAAAGCTTTGAGGCAGACATGCCTAGACCTGCAGCAATCTGTGCACCCATTTCAAACACAGATATTTTAGGAGATATACTAGAATAATTATTAAATAGAAAAATCCTAATGTGGCTAGCTAAGTCAGAGTAGAAATACAGTCTATTCAGAGCTCTCCTTTTGCCTAGTATGTATTCACTGCTGCTTTCTTGGGCCCACACTTGTTTTATTTGACTCAGTGAGTTTCTGAATGGTGACAAAGCCTCCTCTGGTCCTACGCTGTGTGTCTGATACTCCTATTTCTCCTAGGTGAGATCAGTACAGTTAAAGAATTTTCATTTTCATTTCAGTAGGCATAAGGTATAGGGGAAACAGAGGGACCTAGAAATTCAGTGCCCTGTGATGTTTCATGTGGAGGTTGTTGACAAAGAGTTTACAAACCCATTTTCTTTAAAAAGCTCTGCTGCACAGGACACCTAGGAGACGGCAGTGCCCAGCCTTGCAGAAAACACTGACTGACCAAATTTACTTTTTCTGACCCTAGAAAACTGGCAGAGCTGCATTTAAGCTCCCCCCAACCCAATCTAACCTTACTATCCATACTTGATCCTTCCAGCATCCATGGCAGCATAGCACTCTAATGCAATCCTCTCCAGCAAGAGCCACTTGAGCAGATGCTTCACCTATGGTACACTAATCTATGGTGCGTTTGCACTCCTTAAAGTGCTTACAGAGGAACAAAGAAGCCTGCCTTCTATCTCAGCTAAGTACTTTTTTTTCAATAACCTTCCAAAACCTTCAGTTTTTGTTCATTTCTGTTTTGATCCATGTGACAGGTAGTTTTACCCAGAAAACACAAGCTCTAACTTTGGTAATGTAAGTATAACTAAACAGATGGTTATTAAGTGATTCATGAAGATCTAAAATAAAATATGGAAAAATTAAATATACCACATGGCATTCTGCAGCCTGTGAAGAAGGAAGAACTGTAGACTTTTGTCCCAAATCCTTTGAAGACATCTTTGAAGTGTCTGAAGAAATACTAGGTGGATGATCTTGGATTTCAGGCTCTGCTTTATTGTCAGGGGTGGGAACTATTTGAACGGAAAGAGAGGCTGTGTGTATCTCAGGCATGGGGTTACAGGCAGGTGACATAGGCCTTTGTGAAAATACTGGCTCTTCACCAGGCTTGAGCTGTAGCTGTGAATTACAAGGAATGCTATTTGCTGGGTCACGTGTCCGGGTTAATTTCAGGGTGGATATTTTACGCTTTTGAGACTGCTGCCTTTGGCCTTGATGGAGAGTAGTGCTAATGCCAGCTACTGTGCCTGTGTCTGCACTGCAGACTGAGGTCAGTGGTTTAATGATTTTTTGTGCATAGGACACACTTGTGTTAGATATTTGAGAAGTCATTGTCTCCTGAACAGACGTCTCACTAGTGTAATAGGCAGTATCTGTGGGGTGGTGTTTAGCTGGACCAGCAGTTACTGCCTGGAGATTAATTTCGTTCTTGTGATTAGTTACTCTTGCTTTCCGAAAACTTTCTTTTCTAGGAGGTGGCAGAGGTGCCTTATTTGCCAAAAGCATCCACACACAGCAAAATAACATTGAAGAAGAAACAGAAAGAAAGTAAATGTTAGTAGGAGACATAGTTCAGTGTTGTTTTTATATTTAAATAAAGGAACTAGCAAATTAAAGGGCTTAATCTCAACATTGCTAAATTCAATGGATAACCAAATTGGTCAGGTTCCCACCACCATTTCCTGTGCAACTTCTGTTTAAAAAGCCAGATGTTCCATTTGCTCAGACCAAAGTGGGATCAGAAAGGATCAAAAGAGAGCCCACAATCATTCGTTTTCTTTTAAAAAACAATTACTACACTGAAAAAGAATTATTGCTGTGAAAGCATTCAGGTATGTAAATACTCCATGATCTTAGATAGCAAGCAATTATTCACTGGTAACACACATATATAAAACACAGAGCTTCTTAAACTTTTGAATTAAAATAGTAAACGAAGGAGTATTGAAATTGGTATGTTGATATTTTTTGGACAGGTAAAGATGTTTCCAAGTGTGGGGGTGTTTTTTTTGTTTATGTTGTGTGTTTTTTTTGCTTGGTTTGTTGTTGTGGTTTGTTTCTGCTTTTAGTGTGCTCTAATTACATTGTTCTAAAAAACAGGCAGAAGCATTTTCTGCCTTACAATTAATAAATTTTAATTCTCAGACATTTTGATGACTGGTGCATTTTTCCAAGTGTAAACTATTAATAAATACTCTTTGAAGTCTGGGAGCACTCCTAGAAAGCTTTTACTTGAGTATGACCTAGTTTTATTTAGCTGTCTGTCTCGCTCATTGAAAGCAATTTCTGGTAATTAACCTGGGGGCATTCAGCCTGTGTGGAGTGTGCTTTATCTATGCAGTCTGTAGTGACCCATAGGAACAGGTGATTCACACTATCTGCAAGACATCAGGACAATGTTCCATAGAGGTATCCCATCTATACGTGCTAACCCCCCCAGCAATGGCACAGCATTAAACGTGGTGTGTCCAGTTTTACCTGAGTTGGAGATTTTTTATCCTGTAGATTTGGCCGCACGCTCCTAAAACCTTTTGCTGAAAGAGATGAACTGCTAGCGTCTCCATTCAGAGTCTCTCTACTGCCATTATTGTAAGATCGCCAAGCTTTTGTAAATAAAAAAGAATAAAACAATTTTTTTGTGCGATTAGTACATCTACACTGCTTTCAACACAGCAACCAAGCTACTAAGCAAACTTCACCACTGACAATGATGCTGTTTTACCATGGAAGTTATAAGAACATGGCTAAAGCTGCCACTCTACAAAATATTCATCTTTTGAATTTAGAAAATTTGAGCATTGACAACAGTCCTTGTATTGGGCAGTGAGACATCTTCCCACAATTTTCATACAGACTATGGAGTTTAACCTTGAGAGTCCTTTTGAGATGCTGGTGCTTTGGTCCCTGTATAAACCAGGCTTGAGTTTTTTCACTTTCAGATTACATTCTTGAACTTCACGGCAGTGTTGGATTTTGAAAAACAACTCAGCTCATGTAAAGTTAGCTGGTCATGGCAATTTCACAAAATTTCACCGCAGTACCCAGTTAGTTGTTCCAATACTGTATCTTATGGCCAAATCTGAATGACACCTCTATTTCCAACCAACCAACCAACCACGTTTTTTTCTCTATCTTCAGACCTGGAATGCCCTCAAAGCATTGGCCAAACATAGAGGGAGATGTTGAAGACAAAATACTGTAAGAGGCTGGGAAAAGTAACACATTATGTGAGCAGGCTGCTAAGTGAAGGTGGGCAGAACTTGCAATCCTGAGTAAGGCACTAAAAAAGAAATAGCAAGTACCATGGGATGGTGCCACAGTGATAAAGCTAAAGGTGGCAAATCAGCAGTCTGTTTTTTCCCACACAATTCATTTTTCTTACAACATATTCTGTGTTACAGGAAAAAGCTAATTTCAAATGAGACCTGAATTTGAGGCCTTAACCAGTAACAATTAGGATTATACTTTCAGTGGTGCTTTCTTTGAAGAATGAGGAAGTATGGCTTAATGAAATCAAATAGATTGTTGTAATTCATCCACTTACATGGTATTGCACTGATACATAAATAATACAGCGTTTTATTTACCTGAATCTAGAGACTGAGAATCAGACCCTGAAAAAGAAATATCCAATATTAATTTGTGTTAGAAATAAATTAATTTTGCAAAAACCACACAGTACTATTGATAAGAAGCAGTTCTGCCTGTCTAACGAATATTTAGTATGTTTTAATTGTTATGAATATTTTTAGGTAAACAATCTTCATAAATGATTTTTTAAAGTTAATCTGGCTTCTGACAATCATTTTACAACAACACTCAGATTCCTTTCCTTGAGAAGAGTTTTTAAATCAAGTTTCAATAACAAGTTTGCAATAAACAAAAGCCTTTTTTCATGCTTTGTTATCTTGAAAAAAATACAGGGGATGTGAGACCCAAAACACATATAAAGGACAAAATTAATTAACTGATTCATTAATTTACAAATATTCATTTTTTCCTAAGTATTTATGTTTTTTTTTTAATGAATGGCTACAAAACATAGGCAGAGAGAAATTAAAACCACTTTTTAAAAAGCATTGTAGAAGTAATACATCTGTCAGTGTAATAAAAAATAGTGATATCCTTCTCCTCCTTGCAAAGCAATATGGCAGGAATGCATAACACTATAAAAATGCCATCCAGAAGTTGTATCTCAGTTGTTATTGGTTATACCTGAGGCCAACAGGTTTGGAGAACTCTGAACTCTCTTCACAGCTGTTAATGTGACAGACATTGCAGCACGTTTGCGAGCACACCCACCGCTATCTGGAAGCACAAAACAATACAGACAGCAGCCCCAGACAAAGGGAGCAAGCACATGCAACGTATCACAGTGTGAGAAATGCCAAACATATATTGAAAATAAGCATGCAGTTAGGGAACTGCTGCAGAAATGTGTGAATTTGCAGGTTGGCAGATTAGCAGAATACATCAAATTTCACAGGCCTTAAACAACAATAACCCTCACAGAGAATAAGTGAAGAAAGCTGTATTTAATACTTAATCCACTGGGGAAATATATACACTCTGTTACCTGAAAGACTGCTTAATTAGTAAAAGCAAACAAGTAATCAAGATAAAGGCTTAAGCATGCCAGAATAATATTAATCAATAATCTGCACTGGAAAATAATTTCATTGTATGCATTAGAAAGACACCATTCATAAACTAAGCTCATGTTTGATCAGCTGACAAAGTATTTTTGTTCCGTCCTTTGGATCTCTCATGCTCAAGGAACAAAATTACCGGTGAAGGCATAATTTTTTTCATTTTGATGGAACAAACTGGCTGTCCCTCTTCTCCTTTTATATCTAATATAAGTTAAAAAAACCATGAAATGTATATCTGGAACTGAATAACATTCTGAGGAAATGACTAGAATTCTAAAATAATTCTAAAAAATAAGGTATAGAAAAAAACCTTTCTTCTGGATCTGGCCCAACTCCTTTCTTTATTCTATGTCTCTCTAACTGGAGCTTCCATTACATTTTATAAATACTCTCTTATTATTAGAAGACAGCTTTCCCACAACTTAGCATTTTAGCAACTCTAGCATAGTTGTAAAAGAAAGTTAATAAATATTCTTACCAATTATATTCAACTAGAATATTTTTTTGCTCTTCATTAAAATAATTATTTTAATTTTAATATTTGATACTACTGAAATTTCATTTAGTGCTTCAATGAAGTCAAGAACTACAAGTATGATAAATGCCTTTTTTAATTTCTGTAACCTATGACAGGAAGTTTTAAAAAATTAAGGTCTTAATGAAGACATGCTACCTATTTGCAAAAAGTATTTGCTATAATAGCAGTAATCTGAGCTACAGAGTTATCTTTACCCCAGGTATGCACGAGAAGTGAGCTCCTGGTATTTCTTTGCTCATTCCAATATTCCCCTGCTACTTCAATACTTCCAACACTCCCCTGGCCATAGGCTCTGCAGGATATGCATTAAGTAGTTGTTAACACTGGCAAACGTCAGAGCCACTGCCTTGGATGTAAGTGGTACCAAACACTCATTGCCAATTCCAAGGCTCAAGGCAAAAGGCACAATTATTTCAGCCAGCAGTAGCTGAAAGCAATATATCACCTGCCATAAATTATTGGCATTGTACATGTGAAACAAAGGCAGTGGCTATCAATTCTGCACATATGTTTTAGTTCGCTTACATAAATATGGATGGCAATGGTAATTAAAATTACATTTTCCGTTCTTGTATTCCTTTTCCCCCACCATCGACATACATCAGAGGTAATTCCAATGAGATCTGATGATTTGTTGATACTCAGGTTCTGTTCTGAGTATTGGCAGACTTTGAAAGCATACTACATTTAATGTAAGCTAACAGGCAAAATAATTTGTTATACTGTCACAGCTCTTATTCAAACAAAGTGGTAATTTATTTGCAATTTTTCAAGAGCTACCTTCCTGAATTTCATGATAGGGGAAAATGAAGACAACAAGAAACTGACTACAAACATTTAATTAATTTAACTTCAGGAAATTCTGCTTCAATTTAGATTGTCATGTAACTCAACTGAGTCAGAGTTGTATACTTTGTGGACTCATAATCTAGCAAAGTGTTTTCGCTTCATACAAGAGAAATAAACAGATTGTAACTGGCTACATACAATATTCACTCCTATATATATAATTTATATATATTCACAAGTCTGTACTACATTATTTATCAGTATCTGTACAAAATAATGAGATCTAATTAGCATTCAGTTAAGACATAACTTCACATTTATATGATGTTGAGTTATACAGTAGAATAGGAACGTGTGTGGGTAAACACATATTCATGGATTTCATCTCAATTATATTCAGGCCAGGCTTCCATTAAGTGGAATGTGGAGTATCAAGAAACTGTAAGGGAGACTGAATTAATGATCCTCTGCTCATTTCACTTGCAAACATAAGCAATTAATAGTGCACAGCTGTTACATAAAGAACAAATGAGGTTATATGAAACAGTCTATACAAAATGTTTGCATATATAAAAAATATGTGCGCAAATATATATACACACTCACAATTCCTTTGACTGAAAAATTGTTCAGGAAGGAGTCTTGTCTCACTAGGAATTGCTTTAGCATTGAGGCAAAGGAGACTCAAATCAGCTAAGGTCTGAAGGCAGTGTTGGAATATGAAGTTGGGCAGTAACTCACAATTAAAACAGCTACATAAAATGCAATTGCAACTTCTTTTTCTCCCCCTCTCTTAATTGTTTCCACATTTAACCCTTTCCCCTAAATTCATAGCCTGAAGAGCTGCTCCCATTAGACATCATCACCCTAAGTGAGCTCTATCTATATTTGACAAACAGTCTACTGGTTGAGAACTGCCCCAAAGCCAGACGGAGACCATTCAAAACACCACCAATTTCATTTAGGAACAAGGGGTGGGTTTCTTAAAAAGACTCTTTCAGAGAGTCAGTGAAAGCAGTGACATAAACAAAGGGGGCAAAGATGAAAAGATGGTGACTTTGTGTGAAGAGGTGAGAGAGTAGCCAGGGGCAAGAAATTTTTAATAAGCTCTTAAAGCTTATTAAAGAAAAGAAAAATGGCATCTGAGCGTTAGGTTTGCTGATTATTATTCTATTCACTGTACTTTTGAACGGCATCATGTTTTCTTTTGTCTGCACAGTGAATTCAAGTTTAGAAGTCTTTAGACCAGGGCTTCTTACTCCTTATTTGCATTCTGACCATTTGAGGCAAATATATAGTGCTGGGTCCAACCATCCAAGACAGACAAAGCTGCTGTCTCTCTATGCCCCCAGGTCTAACCAGGAGGGAGACTGTGTTCCCAGCAGACAGATGTTCCCAGTAGACAGATGTTCCCAGCAGACACATCACATCCATACACGGCTGGACACACAGCTCCAAACCTCACACTAACACGGCACAATGACCTCACCACCCTCCCCTCTCTGGCTGAAGAACCACTAGGGAGGATGGCACACGTGGACAGAGTGGATCCTTCCAGCAACTGGGCTCAAACATGGAGTCTGCCACTCATTCCATGCCTGCCTCTCCTGTGACAACCCTGGGAGGGCCCTGCACAAGGGAGACCCTTTGTTCCTTGGATCTCCTTAATTTGTGTTCTTGCCTGCCCTTGTGTCCCTGTGCTCTTCCAGGCTTATGGAGAGAGAGAGAGAGAGAGAGAGAGAGAGAGAGAGA